TGATGTTATAGGACTGAAACAAGTGCAGAAACGAAACATTTAGTGAACTTGCAAACAGCTGTGAAGATTATATCTCATATTCGGTAAACAAAGGTTTAGAATTCGAAGTTTTATAAATATTTTCATATTCGGCAAAAGAATAATTCAAATTTTACAATTGCGGTAAATTTTGAATTCGACAAACAAACATTTCAAAATCTAAGTTTTGTGATGAAGTTTTTATTTTGTGTTGCAGTCCTAACCAATTACAATTCTTATTTCTACGCCGTGATTGTCTTGTTAAAACGTGTAAAAACAATAAAAAACCGTCAAAAAGCACTAGAAACCTTGCTAAAAAGTGCAAAAATGTATCAGAAGTTCGCTCAACTTCATTTGTCTCTTGTAACTTTGCTCAGAGATCATTGTTCTATATTTTTACAATATTAATACAAGCCCTGTATTATCCCCAAGATTAACAACTGAATAAAAAAAAATATGGCTATGTACTGATTTATATTCTTCGAGTAAAGTTGTAAATTGATGATGTTTTAGTCTTTCTTGATATAATTCGTACACTTTGACACAATTTTCACATTACTTGAATTTCGAATACAATTTATTGGAATGGTCGTGATCACAAATGTACTGATTGACTCGACATGGTTTGCAATACGCTAATCATTGTTATCAGATTTCCTATTTTCAGAGGTAAATAGTATCTTGTGCTACTATAATAGAAACCAGTCGAAATTTACATATATTATTGCGATTTTGAGGAAAATCCATAACATGCACTGCGATTAATACTTCAGCCTTCTCCTCTTATGGAATTAGTTTGAAACGAGCACGCCAAAACCTGACAAAAATAGCACGTGGTGACTCAGTATTCTAAATTACCAAAATTATGTTGAAACCAATGCACCCATCGAAAATATTCATAACGGTCGGTTGTAAAATAGCAAATATGCAGTTTATATATATGTATTCCTATTTTATCGATTTGATCGACAACACGGGGTTATTTTCGCTGTACTTGGGCGACGGTAATATTTGGGCCACATTTTGCTGTCGCACAAATAGTTTGGACTTTATTTTCCTTAGGAGCAAAAAGTATGAAACTTTTTGTGATTCTGGTTCTTGTCGACAGTTTCTAGGCCCAGCTATCTATCTTGTAGTTGTTTTTGCTAAGTTGGGGCTACAAATATATATCATGATTTCTCTTTTTAGACCCGGTTATCTTTTGACAAGATTTTGAGGATTAACAGGAAATTTTTTTCGCTATCGTATCGTATTCTAATAATTCGTTGGAAACATATCTGGAACTTGGAGTACTGTTATGGTAAATTTCACCCTAAATGTGCAAACTTGCAGACTGGACCTATTACGTCATATATAGTATGTATCTGCTTAGTCAGGAGCGATGAGAAGTCGGTTTTAGTTATCGATTCAAATAAAGGATAAATTCAGTCGGATCTTGCTCGCCTTACCGTACTTGGTAAGGATTTCCCATAATTAATCGAATTGGTGGGGGGTTGGGGCTTACTCAATTTTTGATTTGGCAACATATTCCATATTCTTAACAACATGCTTGACTATTGCCGACTTTATTTATATTTTGCTTGAAAGCTAACAAAAAAGCGGCGACGTCGTCCCATAAACTGGTACCTATCTATATCGATAAATAAATATGAAACATTCAGTACTCCAGAAGTATGTGAACCAAGATGGCGGACACCGGAACATTGTATGTGTACAACGTTGGGGTTAGGCCATAATTTCAGGAACAAATACTACGGGACTCACTTGGGTATTCCCCGACCTTGTAATAGAACTAAGGAAAATTAGAATACAATTATGGCCTAATCCTAACCTGGTACACATACTACGTACCGGTGTCCGCCATCTTGGTTCACATATTTCTGGAGCGCCAAACATTCATACCGGTACATTATTATATTTTCCCAAACCAAATCAACAAAATCATTTTTTTGCTGAAGATGCATTTTAGATCAAATAACGTTAGCGTGGTTTTCCTAATCGCAGATGTGGTGAATTACGATGCTAACAAGAAAACAGACAAAAAACAAAGCGCTTTGCTTCCATTTTGAGGGTTTAATAAATGAAAGACGTTAAAGCGGTTC